CAGGAATGCTACACCCAAATCATCCCTGAGCAATGCGTATCCAACCTGTGCCTGAAAATCTCCAATGAAGGAGATTGTACAGTTTCCCCAGGCAGTCTATTCCATTGCCTTACTGTTCTGACAGTAAAGAAGGTTCTCCTGATACCAAATCTATACCACCTTTCCTGCAACGTAAAGCCACTGCATGCTGTCCTGTTGGATTCTTCTCCCTCTCCTTTATGGCAGTCTCTCAAATATTTGAAGACTTCTATCATGCTCCCCCTCATTGCTCTCCTTTCTGCATACTAAGTTGGGGAAGTCACTTAAACCAAACCTTTCACAGGCGGCCACAATCTGCGCACCCCTCAATCTGAGACCCAGGGCTAAGCTGGAAAAGTGCCGAGTATTCGCAGCTACAACTGAAGTCACGGGACTATCTGCAGCGCTCCATAAGATGAAGCACTTTGCAAAATCAGATCTTGGATGTCTGCTCTTGGGGATCCAGGGTTAGCAGAGACTTTTTACCTTCATGTCTCCACTAGCCATTTTGGAGGCAAATCATCTTCACGTCCCGCATGCATTCAAACGGGGAATGGATGATGGAGCCCATGGTCATCAGCTATGGAACTTGCACTTGTAATAGCACGGTGCCAGTGGAAGTGCATGTGTATGCCTGTTGGATATCAGAGTGGCTGTAGTAATGGCAGTGCTCTGGTGGCATAGTGACAACTTATTCTGCATGCAGAACTACTTGGCCCTTTCTCTCTCTCTCTCTCTCCTTCATAATTAGCATTTCAATCAGAAGGTCAAAGGGTGCTGGGGCTGCAGAGGTTACTCAGGAAAATCAGAGGCCAAAGAGATGCCTTGCATTCTACCCAGAGTTGTGATGAGTGTATTAATAAAAGAACCCGATCAAAAAGTAAGAGCGTTAAGTTATTAATTCTGCAGATTCTTCATGTTTTAGAGATTTTTTTCTTAGTGCTCAGAGGGGAACGTGCAACTCTGAATCCTAATGATGTCGGAAAGGTCCATGAAACAACCCACTGCTGCTTTTAGGACCTGGCATGTCCTATGAATAGGTCACCAGGATACTTGCTAAGGGGTACGATACCAGATGCAGATCCTCCAGCATGAAAATCCAGCTCCCTCGTTTGCAAATAGAAACAGCTGTCATCATCACGCTCCCTTCTAAGACCCAAGAGTTAAATTTACTGGAAGGTTGGCAGGAAATATCTGAAAGAAGCATAGGAGTTTTTGGTTTTAAGTGAGAAGCTAGTGACAGCTTGGTATCAGACTGCTGGATATATGGAACATTTTACACACTAATAGTGGATTTTCAAAACTATGCTATTTTAAACTTAATTGCAAAGGCCGCATTTTTCTCATGGGATCTACCCAAGCCATACAACATACTTGATTTTACTGTGCTATCGGCTGTCTACTAAATAAGGCATCCGGTTCAATAATCCCTCACTTTCCAACACTATTTTAATCGGAGCCGTAGTGGTCTGGAGCAAATCCTCGTTCTATAGTTTTAGCAACTTCAGCAGACCTGACTGACCTATGCCACCTATATATCTACTTCATTTCATTCCAAACGTTAGATTTTGTCCATGGCCAACATCCTGCTTCCCATAAAAGCTTTACAAAGCATGTTTTAATCCTGAACATTTCACTTAAAAAAAAAAAAAAGGCCATGTTGGCATACATCAATGTTTATGCCATGCATTCCTGGTCAACAAGTATCTGGGAACAGCAGACTCCCAGAGTAACGTGACACAAGAAACTTTGTCCCTCTGCCATGGAAAGAGCTGTGGAATTATTAAACATCATTTTAAAAGACATAATTTTTAGGCAAAACTTCAAGGAAATATAAATGTGAGTCATAAAAGACATCCCTGGCAAAACACAGGGATAGGAGAGGTAGAAGTGATTTGCTTTCTATAAGTACGGAGAACATGCTGAAATCGGGACACTGAAGTAGGAAGATTTACAGAGGTCATACACTTGCTGTTACTTGGTAACTAGTAGCTCGTTACACCAGTATCACCATTCTGATTTTCTGCATAAACAATCCTTCGTAATAAGTAATAATTAGCAACAAAGCAACACGTGCTCTGGATGTCTAAGTCATGACATCTCCCTACTGTTCACTTTTGGGGCTTCAATATTTGTCTAGTGGCCTCCTCCTGGACACAGCACTGCAGCAAAATCAAGATATTTATAACCTACTTCCACTGTTTTAAATTAACATTTTTTTTTTTTTTGCTCGCTCCTGTTTCTCTCGATCTAGGAGTAATTCTGCTACCCATCCATCCCTAGAATGAGAGACCGTCATCTAAGCGTGATGTCTGACTTCTTTAGAAGGGAAAAGCATACAGGGAAATGCATAACTTGAGTAGATCTTGTGTGGATCACTTCAGTGGATCAACATCCATTTATACAAGCTGAATAATCCTGTTTTCAAACAAACCCAATACCATTTAAATGGTAAAGACCATTTAAAGAAAAAGACCACCAAAAGAAACACATAGCTATGAAAAATTCAGAATATACTTAAGCAGAACTATTCCCAAGAGGAGTGTCTCAGAGTCTGCCAAGAGGACTTCAACTGATCCTTAAGTAATGAGTCAATAAAAAAAAATTGATATTCATGCTATCTCCAAGGACATATAAATGACATCAGCACTAAGACTGTTTTATAGTTATATTTATTGACGAACAAGAACATGGCTGAGGAACAAACAATACTGTAAGCCGGGATAAGTGTCTAAATGGCCTGCTCCCATGGGGGTGAAAGAAGTTATTTTGGTTGACAAGTTATATTTACAGTAACCAAAACTAGTTGCACTATATCCTTTCCCTGGTGTATGTGTAGCAGATGCACGGATGAAGACACTGAGCATTGTAGAAGAATTATCTGGGGCATCTCGGGCTCATTATCTAAGGCAGATCTGCTCACCTACCAGAGTGACTGTTCTGCATGAGTATATGATTTGTAACAGAATATATTCACTGTAGGGGATTTGGGGTAAGCAAACATCTAATTCATTCCTCCATTTTGGCAGCCCATCTTACCACTCCTAAATAATTAAAAGGTTTATTAAAAAGGTTTTAAAGTCATTCAGTGGGATGAAATGTTTGTGTGTTGAGGCAGGGTTGGAGAAAGATGCATCACAGTTGGGAGTAGACACATACTACGCAGGGGTTCCTGGATTACCAAAAATTTCTGCTAACATTTTAAGGGGTTTTGATGATTTGTAGTCTTCCTTCTGAGAATACGTGCAACCTCACACTTTGGTTTAGTCCCAAGTAAATTGAAACTATTTCTGAAGCATCATTAAGACATTGGCAATGCATCACTTGGAGTTTAAATATTGTTGTAACACCATTGGACTCTGGGTTTGCTGGAAACTCAAGGAAAGAATCTGGACTAAAAAATATCACTGTCTAGTCTGCAGATAGCCATGGTGCCCATATGTTAATCCCACCTGCCCCTCTTCTCCCTCAAACCACAGGGCAGGGAGGGCACATTCCCGAATAGGAATGATGAAGGTCAGGGAGGAAGACCATGATGCTCAGCCCTTGATGAAAAAATAGTCCCTACAAGACTAATACCTCTTTTAGTCTATGCAGGCAAGAACGGCTCTATGATTGGGCTTTAGGCTTCTCCTTGTAGCTGGAGAAAGCCTCGTTCTCCAACTTCCATGCCACTGCACTGTATTCAAAGAAGTTTGCCCTATTTTATTCCAACCATGCAGCTAGTCCATTCAAAGATTTAATCCCCCCCAAAATCCTTGTCTCTAGCACACTGAACCATCATGGGTACAACATCACTCTCTAACACCACCAGTAAGTCTGAACTCTTTCTGAGGGGTGTTGAATGTTTCTAAAACTCGCACCTCATTTTTAGTTGAGAGAATCCAAACTAAGATTTTCCCTTGATGCTAAGATCACACTAAACTGTGCATTAGAAGAACTCAAATGTAAGAAACCTTCAGAATCCAATTCTGCTTCAAGAGCTGATTTTTGCAAAACTTGCTGCTATTATAGCAAATGCAAAAACACCTAAAATCATTGCATTCTTAGAGGCTGGATTTCTGGTTAAAAGCCATCTGTAGCATTCATTGGTGCAAGCTTTATTTTTCTTTTAATCACACATTTCAAGAGCATTTTCTTAAAAAAAAACAACAACCCCCCCCCAGCTCCTGGAGTCATAGATTCACAGACTGTAATGCTGAAAGCGATTTCAGAAGATCATCGGGTCCAGCCCCCTGCACCAGGCAGGAAGGACAGCTGGGGTCAGGTGACCCCAGCAAGGTGACTGTCCAGAGTCATGTGATACTGAAAGAATCTCAGCTTTTGTTTAAAGGAAGTTTTTCAGCTCTCATGATTGTGAAACCTAAAAAACCGTGACTCCTAAGGTCTACAAAAGAAAAATCAAAGCATAAGAAGACGTTTTGAAAAAAATCTCTCATGATTTAAAGCCAAAATTATATGTATTGCATGCTTGGGGTTGACTACAGGTTTAAAAAAAGACAAATCATGATTGACACACAGAATCAATTGAAACTCTGCTTTGGCTCACCTGTGCATGGAAAGCAAAGTGAAAGTCAGTAGTTGCAAACTCGAGGGGAAATATTTCCATAACCCCAAAGGTCTGTGTTTTGCCGTAGCTAGTAATATCCAATAATGAAGTGAAGGGGCTGTTTGCCCTTTGTGGCAATTGAGAAGCAGCTGCTTACAGGAACCAAAGTTTAGTTCAGTAAGAATGAGGAATGCATTTAATTCTCACTGATGACTGAAAACTGCATGGACACGTACTTGCATCTACATGCATGCCCATTCGTATTTCTTATGTAGCTTCTGTTTTAACAACAAACTACTAAAGATGAGCTATTCAACCAGGCAGGATTTTAATAATCATCAGGGCAGGAGATAGATGAATACCATAAAACTAGCCTTAATTATCCCCTTATGTACTATCATACCAATAGCAAGCCTGCATCCATCTCTACAGGGACGCAGGGTAAAGTCTGGAGCTGATGTGACCATTTGGCGACGGAGGCAGCGACTCCAGTGGTTATTAGGGGTGGGGATGAGGAGTCAACCATCCTGGAAGTAAACCCAGGTCCCAGTGAAATCAGTTCTACTCCGATCATATTCTGGTTCATGCAGCTGGTTTTGGATGCATCCTTGCCCATCTTGCTGTGCTTCAGTTTCCCTGCGGGAACAATAGCAGAACAATCCTGATCTGCTTCAGTAAACTGCAATTAGTTAACAGCCTATAAAGGGCCTTGGTTAAGCTTGCACAGGAATTCATGGGCAGAGCTGGAACGAGGCCTGGTGAAAACTGCCCCTCTAAGCTACAACAACCTCTGTGTGGCCCATGCTTTTGGTCCTACTGTGATGATGCCTAGCAGGAGCCATGATATGGCAAATCTAGGTAACCTGAACCCTCTTTTTTCCCCGCTAGCTGCAAACTTCATGCCCCAACAAGGATGCACAATCCTCTGCAGAGTTTCCCAGGCCAAATCAGTGGAGCCCCCTCAGTTCTGTTGTTCCCTTTTGTCAAAGGAACAGCTCCAGCAATGGCCGGTAGGACATGGGCACACAAAAGCACAAAAGCAAAATAGCTCAGGTATCTCCGGGACATATGCATTGCATACCCACAGCAGTGTGCAATGCCGCACAGGCAGCTCCTGATTGAATTTTGCACTTTGGCATCCGAAAGCTGCTGAAAAGTTGTGCTTCCCAAGCTTTACTCCTATCTGCAGTTTGAAAATAATGAGCCAAAGGATTTATGGCAGGGTGGATAGGAAATTGCATTACTCTATTTGTTGCTATGGAAACACATGATGCGACTGGCTAACCCCATGCACTAAGATATTGAATGAACATGTTAAAACCATATTTGAAAATTAAAACTGAATGTTGGTTTTACCTGCAACACAGTTATGTAAACCCAGAGAAGGAGACACGAGGTGAGGTTTGGGAAGCAGGTTTCCCTAGCATCTCAGCATGGGCAGCGTGTGCTTTGGGGAATAATTTTCCATTGCACTAGTCAGCGTGCAAGGCACCTGCATATCCCCTGCCTCCGGCCTGCTCTGTGAAGCCACGTAGCCATTTCATTTGGTGGGTGGGTGATATTTTACAGATATAGCACTGCAATCCCTACTACAAACATGATTTTAGCACTGTAAAGGTGCTGTTTCTCAGTAGAACATATTCCTTTACCCATATGGAAATAGCTATACCAATAGATCATATCTTTAAGCTGATATCACTGCATTCATAACCAATGGCACAATTTAAACTGGGCCAGTAGAATACATGTACATACAAGCATTAATGGTGCTGTTATCATGAATAAGCATGTTTGATTAGATGAGTGGAGAAGCCTGTATCTATGAATTGTGGACACTGGATCCAAGTGACCTGTACTATGGCTTCAATTTAATTGCAGGGCAAAGCTAGATTTGTTCTGAAAGCACATGCAATTCCTGGCAGTGTGGGTTACCCCACATTCACCTACTCACATTTAGCAATGAAAAAGAACAGTCTGCTGAAACAAAGGCAGCCTGAATGATTTTGGCTACTAACCCCTGTATTTATTCTTTTAAAGATCAGCATGGTTTCAAGGCCTGGAGCAGATTCAAAGCACTTTTTGTTGTGACATGCTTTCTAATAAGTTATATTATCTCTCCTCCTATCTCACTGGATAGCGGCTGGATCTCGTTCACAAATAGAGGTTAGCAGTGGAAGAAAAGCAGTGTTCCCATCTTAAGACAGGACGAAAAGGGAACTTTCTTCAGTCTTTGACAAAACAACAATCATAAATCAATTTGTTAACTGGAACAGGACTTTTCAATTCAAAAGTTTACCGTTTTCCTAGAGTCACACGAAAAAAAGAGAGAGGCATTTAGAACGGGAGCTTTGTATTTTGAAAATGTCAAAAGGAAACAGCTTCATAGCTGTGCTCCAGATATTTTTATGGAGGAATCAAATTCATCACAAAACAATCCCTTTCCTATGAAAGGGGCCTACTTGGGTGAATTAACATTTTCTAATAAGGAAAAAGTTTCACTGAAAAAAAAAGTCCTAGTCAATTCCAAAAGAAACCCAGGAGAGATGAATAAAATGGTATTAATATAGGTACAGCTACAGAGGCGTAATGAAAAGCTTCCCTAAATGTCTTTGTTCTGCCTGATCTTCATCTGAAACACTTTATGTCTTTGGACTCCACCAAGCGTGCAGCCTGCTTGGGGAGAAGGCCACAATAGCTCTCCCTAACTGTAAAGCACTGAGCTCACTGACTACACAAGTCTAATGTAGGCCATGGAGATCATATTTGCAGTAGCAGGTCTCTTACATATACAATAGGATACCCCTGGATTAAAGCCCTCCTGAACGCATCTAGATACAAGGTATGTGACTTGGCTCATTGCCTTGCCTGGAAATAAAAAAAACCCCATAGGTACAGCCCTGTAAGCTGGTGTGATAGGTTTCAGAGAGCTAGAGGAAAAGAGCCAGAGCTTAAGAGGCATGAAAAGGCCAATAGAGGAGAGGAGAGGAGAGGAGAGGAGAGGAGAGAGGCAAAGCCCAGCCCAGCCCAACCCAGCCTGTTCTTGGTGGGAAAGCCTTGTGTGCCAGGTTTATAGGGCTATACTTAGCCCCAATTATTTCCACCTGCATGAGGCTGGTTTCTCAGAGATTTGCTCATGAACTAATCTTGGCCAGAACTGGGGAATCCTTCTTGACCCTATTTGCAATCCAGAAGAACATCATGTATTTTTAGAGAGAGAATTAAAAGCTTGTCCTGCCTTTATTTTGTTCCTAATAATACCTTAGACTCGGGATTCACAGACTGCTCCATTAATGCAACGCACATCCAAACTCCCCACCCCTCCAGCTGTAGCCCATGCCTCATACAAAGATATGGAAAGGACCCAGGTAACACCTGTTGCCAGGTCACCACCTTGTTTTCAGTCATTAAAATGGCAGGAGTTGAGAAGCCTAATTTACTTCTCCTCTCTAATGCTGCTTCCCTATTTTTGGGTTGGCACTCCATCTGGACAGAGAAATTCCACTTGTTAATTAAAAAAAAATAAGTCCCAATCCCTATGTTAATTCACAGCACATTTAAAAAGAAAACAGATGGAAACACAGAAAACAAAATTTGCTACCCTTGGGAAACCAGTCCAGAGTTTCTAGAATGAGTTAATTGCAAACAGCCAATTAATATATATATATAATTTGAAATGAGTTGAGAAAATCTCTCTGCAGGATTACTTTGGGATCACAGAGATGAGCCAACTTTCAGTGACTGAGTGAAGCATTATGTAAGCCTAAGAGTGTAACAGGGGAAAACATAGGGTGGCTTTTCCTGTCTTCTCAACCAATTTATGTCACTGTGCCATTAATTTCAATGAAGTAACTGCTGACTTGCCTTGTTCTCCCTGGGAGGAGAACAGAGCCTATAGACCGGAGAGGTGATCAATGGTAAGACAGCAATTGCAATGCAGAAATGCATGTGCATCAAAGTGCCATGTATTCTGAGTTTATAGCTTGCCAGAATGTCTCATTTTTGTGAAAAGCTCTAAAAAAAAAAATAAATCTCCTTAATTGTTGTGTATTTCAACTTATTTATAATATACCAATGGAGCCCGCACTGTCTTACTTTTCCTCTCTCCCAAGTTTGCATCAAACAGGAGATAATAAAATCCAGACTTTGCTTCATATCGCCTACAGAAAAATTGTGACCTGTATGTATTAGCGGCTGTCAGGTGACATATTTTATACCTTGTTAGTGTCAAAGCAGTTATTGCTTTTTTCGCTCCGTGAATAGATCGTGCCTTAGAATCCACCTCTTTTATAACCTTGGCCAATTTAGCACAGCAACCCTTGCAGTAACGTTAATATGGTATTTCTTCCCACAAGCCACCTTAAATGTTTGCTTATTACAAGGATTTCGGATGAGGAAGCTTGCTCGCCTGTTACTCAGTTTGGAGTACGGCCATCGCCGTGGTCTTGGGGACTGTGCAATAACTCTGGTACTTCCTGAAGGAGTTACAGAGTAGGGGATTAAATCACAACTGCTGTAACTCCAAGCTGGGGCAGAGATGCTTGTGCGGCTTTGGGCTGAAAAGGTCTTCCAGGAACAGTCAACACCTTGCAGGATGTTCTGTTCCTAAACCACCCCAGGCTAATGCTTACCCAGCCTCTTCTTGAAACCCTCTGATGAAGGAGATGCTTGACCTTCTTCCACTGTGTTGCAGAGCACTGAGGTGCCCTGCTCTTAGAGGGCAGAAACTGCCAAGGAAAAGCTCTGGCAGTGCATAGGGAGCCCTAGCAGGGAAAAAGAGCCCCCCAGGGGGTTGCCAGGGCAACTAGAGGCAGCGAATGACCCACACCTGACGGCGGTTAGCTGCCTGTAGGAGGCAAGGCCTGGCTCCTATAAAGCCCAGGGCTGAGGCCAGCAGCAGGCGAGGCAGGAGCTCCCTCAGTTGAGATATGGGTAGAAGCCTGATTGCAAGTACAGCTCATGATAGCGCTGGAGGCTTGGGCAATGATGCTAAGTTATAGCCAGGTGGCTTATAGTTATGTTGTAGCCTAGGGGCTTGTGGTTTGGTTTTGTTGTTGATGTTACACCGGTGGTTTGGGTGAGGCTATTAGGGGTTGGAGGAGGCCTCATAGGGGGCTCATGGTAAAGTGGGGACCCTGGCGCCAGTGAAGGTACATTATCCTCATAGGAGACCCACAGTAGTGTGGGGATCCAGGCGCCAGTAAAGGTGCAGTTTATGGGGTGTGTAGACCCCAGCCCCAGAGAGAGGCATTTGACGAGCCCAAGTGTGGGCACTCAGAGCCCCGAGAGGGGGCTGTTATTTTGAGAAGCCCAAGTTGGGCACAACGAGCCGCAGGAAGGGGGCAATAGGTGAGAAGCCCGAGAGGGGGCACTATGTGAGAAGCCCAGGATGGGCATGATGAGCCTGGTAACAGGCTAGCACAGCAGAAAACCCAAGAGAAGGGCAGGGTGCTGCGGTGGTCCCCAGGAAAAGGGGATAGCGGTACAGCATCCAGCAAATAGGAAGCCGCGCGGTGGGCCTGAAAGACTGGAGGCTCGCTATAGAGTCGCAAAGTGGGCAAGGGTCCCTGAGCGGGACAACACTTTTAGAGAAAGCCCAGAGAGGGGCGACATTTGAGAGAAGGCCCAGAGTGGGCACCGGGAGCCCTAAAGAAAGGGTAGGATTAGAGAAAAGCCCTAAAGAAAGGGTAGGATTAGAGCATAGCCCATAAGGCTGGGGTGCCTGAGTAGCACCCATCGTACGGGGAGACCACAAGAGTCCGGGAAAACTGTGGGGACAGAGGTCCCGATACACCGTGCCCAAGGCGGTATAAGGTAGCCTCCCAACATATACTGAACATCAAAGACGTGGCGGGCGAGAAGAAGAGGGGGCCCTCCGGCCCGCCCTGACAACGTGAGAGGGACCTTAAGGAGATCATGGCCCTCCTGCAGGATCCCGCCGTGACACACTGTCTTGCTGTTTTTGCAGCATATACTTGAGACCCTTCACCACCTCCCCAGAGTGCAAGATGTATGTGGTGCTACACACTGCAAAGGCTCAGCGAGCTAAAGCCAACGGTGTCCACGCACTTAGCACTGAAATACCTACCTTTTACGTGCCTGGTGTTTGAAGCCTGGGCTCTCTTCTGGAGAGTTATACACCTCCAAGTAGCATCAAAATTCAGCGTGTCGCTATGTAGAGCTGGCCAGCGAGAAGTGCTGAGAGCGAAGGAGGGTCAGATGCCTCCTGCAAGACTTTGGAGAGAGGCCGCCCTTAGGCGAATCAGCCAGGTCCAACCCCCTGCCCGCTCTCCCAGCTTGGCAATGGCTGCCCCAGCTCCCGATACTTGGGGGAACCCCCCGACTCAGGGAGTGCTGCTGGGCAGGGGGGCGATTCCCCACTGCCCCACACTGTATAGGGGGCTTTCCATGAGCCCCTTGACACTCCCCTCACTGTCCCAGCCCCCACCATGGGTGCCCCGCCTGACCCAGCTCTGGTCTTTTAAGAAACAAAACCCCAATCCCCCCAAACTCACTAGTTCTTGCCCAACAAGGGTCAATCTTCACTGCCCCCCACTGCCCTGTGCCACATGGGGGGGCTCTGCACAAGCCCTCTGAAGCCGAGGCCACTCAGAAGCTGGCGAGTCCCAGGGTTTTTTCATTTTATTTTTCCTAAAGGGCCAGAGCTAGGGCAGCCATGGGAAGTCTGGGGGAAAGAGGAGAGGGTCAGGGGGATCATGCAGAGCCCCCCATGCAGTGGGGGGCAGCAGGGATTGCTCCTGTGCCAGGCAGCACCCAGTGAGTGGGGGCTTTTTTTTAAAGCACCAGGAGCTGGAGCAGGTGGGGCAACCATGGCGGGGCCAGAGGATCAGGCACGGGTCGGGGAGGGGAGGGGCTGGAGGCTGGCAGGAGTCCCGTCCCCTTCCCCACTCCACCAATCCCCCCTCCCTCACCTCCTACTTACCAGCTCCAAGTTCAGCTCCAGCTCCCTGCTGCAGGGACCGCCCGAATCATCAAAGTGCTCTGAATCTTTTCTGCAGATATGGACAGCTTCAAATCGATTTGGACCTTTTTATTGGTCCCCTGATTTGATTCGGATTTGGCCACCAAATCGGGCCGAATCTCCTCCGAACCAAATCAGCACCCGAAGCGTCGCACAGCCCTAGCTACCATTCACCTGGGATCTACATCTGGGAGCCCCACCTAGAGACAGATAGATGGATGTCCATGCTCTTTCTTGCAAAAAAATAAGCCAGACTCACTTGCTCTCTCAGGTGACAGCCCAGGGTTTAATTTCTTCCTCTGCCTAAGGGGTCTCAACCCATCTCTCCCATCACTCACAAGACTTCTCTCACCATCAGGCTATTACCCTTAAGACTGGGGTGGGGAAGCATTCTCCACCTCTCTCGCCACTGTGCACAAAACTATTCAAGATCCATGGGCCGGAAAGAAAGAGCCAAAACTGAATGGGACTCTGCAGCCTGGTGGTTAGGACACTCACCTAGGAGTGCTCTGGGGTCCATTCACTGCTCCCAGGACTATTTATGTATTTGACAACAGTCACTGGATGCAGCAGGTAATCAGTCACTGCATAACAAGCCCTGATGGGAAAACAAAGACCACTTTCCAAGAGACCTAAACTCAGATTCACAACTTTAGGTGCCTTTCTTTAGGTGCCTAATTCCCATTGAAACCAACGAGAGTTAGGTACCTAAATATCTTTGTGAAAGTGTCCCCCTGGTCTCCCTGGGATGCTGTAGGTATGAACAGATGAACAATTATACTGAACTAAAAGAACTTACTTGGACAATAAACCATAAAAATGTAGTTGTTCTTTCCATGTTAAACGGTATTGTTCGGATTTCACTTACTATAGGATAGAGCAAACACAGAAAACAATTGCCACAGATCAGCTGATATGTATAGTGACAAATTCTGGGTTTATTGTAATACTTCTGTGATAACTCTGCTCATGTTGTAAAAATGTTGCAGGCCTCAGTTTCCTCCTGCCTAATTTATATAGAGGGGAAAGAATGGGTTGACAATGGTGAAGCTAGGGCTTGCCTGCTTGTGGGTCAAGACAACATGGCATCCCAGTGTCTTCAGGGACACTCTCATAGTTTCATAGTTTCATAGTTTCAGGGTCGGAAGGGACCTAATAGATCTTCTAGCCCGCCCCCCCGCCAGGGCGGGAGAACAACCCGAAAAACACAAACAAAACCACTCACCCTAAAAACAAAAACGGGACTCAAATGAGTCCAGCCAGGTAAGTATCCAGCCTCTTCTTAAAGATCCCCAGGGTAGGGGCCAGCACCACCTCCCTTGGAAGTTGGTTCCAGCTCCTAGCCGCCCTGACTGTGAAGTAGTTTTTTCGGATGTCCAATCTGTACCTCCTCTCCATCAACTTGTGCCCATTATTCCTTGTTATGCCAGCAGGGGCTAGGGGAAACAGCGTCTCCCCCAAACCCTTCTGGTTCCCCCTAGTGAGTTTATAGACGGTCACCAGGTCCCCCCTCAGCCTTCTCTTGTGGAGGCTGAATAGGTTCAAGTCCCGCAGTCTCTCACTGTAGGGTCTGCCCTGTTGTCCCCGGATCATGCGGGTGGCCCTCCTCTGGACCCTCTCCATGTTGTCCACATCCCTCCTGAAATGGGGCGCACAGAACTGGACACAATACTCCAGCTGCGGCCTGACCAGCGTCGCATAGAGGGGGAGGATCACCTCCCTGGCTCTACTCGAGATGCACCTGTGGATGCACGACAAGGTCCGGTTAGCCCTGCCAACCATGACCTCGCATTGTCGGCCCATGTTCATCTTGGAGTCAATAATGACACCAAGATCCCTTTCCGCCTCCGTGCTCTCAAGTAGGGAGCTCCCCATCGTATAAGTGTGCTGCTGGTTCCTACTACCCAAGTGCAGCACCCTGCACTTGTCCGTATTGAAACGCATCCTGTTCCTGTCTGCCCACCCCTGTAACCTATCCAGATCCTTCTGCAATCTCTCTCTCCCTGCTAGCGTGCTCACCTCCCCCCAAATTTTGGTGTCATCAGCGAATTTAAACAGGTTGCTCTCCACCCCAACATCAAGATCGCTGATGAAGACATTGAACAGCGCAGGGCCCAGGACCGAGCCCTGAGGGACTCCACTACCCACCTCCCCCCAAGTCGAATATGATCCATCCACCACCACCCTCTGAGTGCGACCCTTCAGCCAATCTGCAATCCATCTGACCGTGTAGGCATCTATGCCACAGTCGCCTAGTTTACTAATTAGGATGGGGTGAGAGACGGTGTCAAAGGCCTTGCTGAAGTCCAGAAAGACTACATCCACCATGACACCTGCATCCTTGGCCTTTGTGACCTGATCATAAAAGGCAACCAGGTTGGTCTGACATGATCTCCCCCTAATAAATCCATGCTGATTGCCCCTGAGCATCATCTCGGATGCCGGCCCATCACAAATGTGCTCCTTGATGATCTTCTCAAAGAGCTTCCCCAGGATTGAGGTAAGACTGACGGGCCTATAATTGCCCGGGTCCTCCCTTTTCCCTTTTTTGAAGATGGGGACCACATTAGCTACCTTCCAATCGTCTGGCACCTGGCCCAAGCACCACGATCGCTCGTAGAGCCGTGCCAGGGGCCCTGCAATAACCCCAGCCAGCTCCCTCAGCACCCTGGGGTGGAGAGCATCCGGACCCGCTGACTTGAACGCGTCCAGCCCCTCCAGAAGCTCTCTAACC